CGTCTTATTATTATTTTTTTTTTACGGCCGACCGACGACGCGATGAACTTTATCTTACGCACGTCGAGGATATTCGATTTCCAATAGCAAATCCATTTTGTTTAACGTCCTCGGGCCGGGTACGGTTTTTATATACTATATACTACGGTTATACGGCTATAAGCTGCTCTGTCGATTTATATATATTGTTATGTATACGCTCGCGTAACCCGGTCTCCAAAGTAGGAATTATCGGTGCAATAATGGTGGCGGTGAACTTAATTACAACGAAACGAAGATGTTTTTTTGTGAAAAACGTTAAATGAATTTTAAATCCAACGTGCCGATTAAACTTTAATAATAATATACAATTTATGGGAATCATCTATACCATATTATTGGCGTAGTTGTTTTTATCTCTTTGTTTTTTATAAGAACTATTAGCATGCTGCACCTTGTACATTTTATGAGCCCAATTAATTCGTATTTAAATTTAGTACAATTATTTGTGATCTATATTTTCAAACGGTTTGATTTTTCAATGATCCTTGTTCTAATTCATGAACTCATAGTAAATCTTATATTGTATTATTATTAATTTATTAATTGTGTAAAATATATAGGTAGTAACATCACCTAATAAGTACATGTTGTATTGCACTGTACTGTGATCCCACTGCAATAGAGCGCCAAAACAAATTAGTTAATTAATAAGGAAATAACTAATACGTGTACTGAATTTCGATTATTCAGGTCTATTGGTCTATTATATAATAACACTTTCTGAAAACTCGTCCCAAAAAATAATGACTTTAAGCATGCCTCGAATATGACATAAATACAAAACAAAAACACATGACAACAAATCTTTGGTTGAATAATGAACACCACGTAATCACATATCATATTATATTTTACAAAGAATGTGACTAAATTTCTCGGTATTATTTTGATTATTAGAAACGGATATACCTATTACAATGTTCCTATCTATAATTCTTCATTACTAATCATAGTATTATAGAACTTTCAACTTTGTATACACGTGGTCATGAATATATTATTGTTGTTGAAAAACTCGGTAAACGTATTGTTCCAAATTATGTAAATAATTTAATACACTCCCAGAGTCCAGAGTATACGGATAATTATAATATTCAGAATATTATATTTTATAACATAGGTATACCTATTAAGAAAATTATGTAAGGGTATTTACGCACATACAATTCGAGTAATTTTTCAAGTCGATTTGCATATTACGCGTTTATGTAGGTATTATATTATGTTTATATACGGTAGGTATATCGGATAATAATGTATTGGTGCTTCACTGAAAATTCAATTTGGCGAAATACATAAACTAAAATCGCATTATCGCGCATTACGATGCGCCCGCTGCAGACATGTGCTTTAAACTAGAAAAGAACTTGAAAAAGTGCCCAGATATTTTCCTCGCGAAAACTTTTCTCTTCATTTCGCAAAATCAAATAAGGATCGAGATACTTAGGAGATTCTGTTAAGACGCATTCGCGTCGCTGTGTGTAGACCGGGGAAAATTTAACAATGTCCGTTTTAAAAATTACTCTACGCAAGTACAATACATACCCGACGATGTTGATGTGCTTTTGTTCCCGGCAAAGTCTTATAAAAGTTAAAGGAACAATCGTATAATGAGAAATCTTGTTTTTTCTTAAAACAGTGTATACGTACCTATATATATATATATATGTATAAAAAGATTTAATGCACCGCAATCAATAATTTATTATTGGCCTACTTTTATTATATGCTGTCGAAAATATTATTATTCATTCGAAATAGGATCATTCTCCGCGTTTTATAATTAGAGGCGAACCTTAAAAAAAGGTCGAACGATACCACGGCTATTATACGCATGTATATTATATTATTTTGATCGGTTCCTACCTTTATATTTGTATACAGTTTTTCCATTTAACGTGAAAGGCGGTTGCGTGCCATAACAATTGAATACCTCGGAGTCTCTCTCTCTCTCTCTCTCTCTTGTATTACTTTCACGTCCAAGAAATAAGTCTATAAAAATACGCTTGGAGGTGAAGACGTATTGAAAACAAAATTTGATTAGACCAATGGCGCTGTGGTGTAGTGGCGCTCTAATGGAAACGTATAAAACGCGTATATAATATAGTCGGTGGCGGTGCACTATTGCCAACAGGGACGGAGACGTCTTAATAAATGTTGTTATTATATTATGTATGTGGCTCGGAGCTTGAATTAAATTGGGTGTGAACAAATTTACACGCCCAACAGTTTTTTTTTCCTCTCGGTATAAATAAAATATATCGACTGTTGAAAACCGTTTTAAAAATATTAATTTCAACGTACATATTATTATTATTATTATTGTTATAATATGTATAACACGCACGCTGGCGATGATGATGATAATGTAAAATTAATTTCACTTACTATACTTAAAATGCTTTGGCGTAGAAAATACGCATACTTTCGAAACACTGAAGCTCCGGAATCGATCATGTTTTGGGGATGAGGGAAGGAGTTACGTATGTTACGTACGTATTATGTAACGCGTTGCCGACGGACGCTACACTTGCATGTAGAGGACATTATTAAAAATATTTGTGTGGTGTAAAATGAAAAATCCTGTTCACACTGTTCGGTTGTTAAACCGAATACGGAAATGTTGTACACAGTGTGTGTACTTACTATTGTAGATTATAAATTATAATTGCAATACAATTCGTTGTATTAAAAATCTAACAATATGATATAATATTATGCTATTAAACAGTGCGTAGAGCGAAATCGGACGAGTTTGTTTGCAGTTGCACCGATCCAACTTCCGCAATATATATTATGTAGTCCCTTATTTAATTTATATACGTATGCCCGCGTATTAATTAAGAGCTGAAGAAACGAGCGTGTGCCATCTGGAAGACAAATCTGGTTCACCGCACGGAATATACGCGGTAGAACGAAGCTGTCGACTGCAGGAAACGCTAATTATTAATAATATGATATAGACGATTTTGGTGACCATCTTTTATTGTTATTGTAAGCAGTATTGCAGTAATGCAAATGTGGATAATATCAATAACTATATTCTGGATAGTAATATTATTATAGAGGTATAATATTATATACCTAGGTATAATTAAGAGTAGTGCAGTAGGTATGCATACATATAGGTAATAATATAAACTTACTTGTATTTTATTTTCCTGATTAAAATATCATTTTTAATGTCATAAATTTTAATGGATTTTAGTATCAAAATAATAATATATACTTATGATATTGTACAATTTTTAAAATATGCATATTCATTCAGTGTTATGAACTTATAAAATATAGAATAATATTATAAAATACAGGTATATAAATATATAATGGATGGACTATTGACATGATATATTGTTGATATTGACATCGATATTATGACGTATTGTTTCGTTATTGATAGGGTATTTTATTTTTTTATTTTATTTACTGTTTGGCTTAATATTTTTTTTTTATTGGATAAAACTTTGTTTAATGTCTATACGAAATAGAACTAAGAACGAATAACTCACAATAATGATACATAATGTTTCTTGGTGAGCGTGAGTGGAGAACCGTTCATCAACAGCAACTCCTATAACATTATATAATATAGGTTATATTTTTTTTGTTTTAATGAGCGAATCCATCAGTATGATTTGTTTGGCATGTTAATATAACTTGGTTTAATTTTTTATTTCATAAGGTAGATTTTATCGACGAATTTATAAATATAGGACACTCTTATTTTTAATATATTCCTCTAATAATACTTATTGTCCAAAATTATCTCATTTTCAATAAAATTACTTTATTTCCATATATGACTATGATTTTTTTTTAAATATATTATATTGTTATACTATTGTGAAGAAATTAAATGGTTTATTTTTCATGTTTATACATAGTAACACTAGATTGTTTGTATATGACTATATAAGACTGGTAAAAAGCGATTTTTATTGCTTGACAGAAGTTTATACAGCATTAAAAATAATCAATGTGATCTCTTGTGATTTTGGTCACCAGCATATATTACAATTTGGTATATAACATGGTAAAAGTTCACTCTTAGATACACTCAGTATATATATATAGGTGTTCACGTCGCTTTGTTTTTCGGTGTCGTCGTCCCCCTCACCATTAAACTCGCGCCTATATACCTACCTATATAATTGACGTACTTAATCCGGATTATTATTGTCGCTCTCGTTGACGTAGAATTAAAAGCTCTTTTCTTGTCGAACCACGTTCACCGTTTGTGTATAATATATTATGCCGGTATATACCTTGCAAGTTCTTTAGTTGTAAAACGCACCTACTTCTATTCTCGNACCCACCCCATCCGCATAGTTTTTACCCTGTTACACCACTGATATGGTATGTCATACTCATCCAGTATTTCATATGTGGTTTTAGCATTTTGATTCCTAAGTTCTAACACATATCATATATGCGTAATATAGGTCTAACCTAACCTAATTAGCCTACATGCAATTTCAGATGAACAGCGTTATAACAGGGAGGTTTGAGAGATACGCATTAAAATATCGGGTTCTTATCCGTTTATATATCAAGTTCTTATCTGACTAAAGCAATAGGGCCGCGATGATAAAGTTTATAATGATTAGTAGTGGGTATACCCATACGACCTGCCTACCAGCTATAACGATTGCTCCGCCAGCTCAAATCTTTTCTGTATATGCGCTTGACTGGTTATCGCGGGATGAGATTTCAAAAAAAACAATCTATATCATACCTATATATAGTAATATCAAGCAAAGGGACACTTAACAATATATAGTAATAATAATAATAATATGATGCAAATAAATTACGTATCATGAGATATAGTCGTTATATATGTATATATATATCGCTGCGCTTAATAGGAAATAAAAAAGATATTTAAACGATTATTCGCGCAAAAGCTCAGAGTTGATAATGAGAATTTCATATTTTATTTTATCGTTTTCCAGGTCAAAGTGATTTTGAGAGTAACCAAAGGGGCTGACGAACAACCAGCGGCGACGTCCGAACCCAGTAACAACTTCATGTCTGTGGACAAGAAGCACAGACAACTGACGCTAATTGATCCGAACGCACCTCCGGCCAGCGACGGCAGTCGGCGCGTGGGCGTTGCCGCTCCCAAAATGTTCGCTTTTGACGCGCTGTTCACGCAAGAAGACTCGCAGGTAATATACTAAATATCAATCTAGCCACTATGTAGGTATACAATAATATGTTATTATGTTATATAACTTATTATAATATAATATAATATTATTGTATGTGCCGTAAAAAATATAACAGACGCGTGTGGTATGGTATCAAATCATTATTATTATTATTATCACCATCATCATCATGAACATGAAACTATATTCTGGATAGTAATATTATTATAGAGGTATAATATTATATACCTAGGTATAATTAAGAGTAGTGCAGTAGGTATGCATACATAGGTAATAATATAAACTTACTTGTACTTTATTTTCCTGATTAAAATATCATTTTTAATGTCATAAATTTTAATGGATTTTAGTATCAAAATAATAATATATACTTATGATATTATAAAATTTTTAAAATATGCATATTCATTCAGTGTTATGAACTTATAAAATATAGAATAATATTATAAAATACAGGTATATAAATATATAATGGATGGANTCGCGCGTACGGGATTTTCCGGTGGTTTACCGTATCGGCACTGCTCTAATAAAAATAAGAAATAAACAGGCTGCGGTTAACAGCGGATATCCGGTTTGCTGCGACGGGGCTGCTGATGTTGCTGCCGCAGCAGCACAGATATATCGGAACTATATTATAAAGACGCTATCGGCACGCCTCGACGCTCGTGCATGGTGTAATTGCTTTGGTGGTGTAGAAGAAAAAAAAAGATTGGAGTGAAAAAAAAATAACGTAATCGGCGACAAAATGGTCTCGTGGTTATCTAGGACAGAGTTGGGGAGGTGCCTTCACTCACCCCTCGCCCGTCAAAAGATGCTGCGCGAGATCGACGTAAAAATAGCGGAAGACCCGCCGGCTGTATGCGGGTATACCAGATACCTATATATATATGTATACCTACGATATAATTTATCAAAGCTGACGTGGACTAACTCGGCAACTAGCTGTGCATTATATACGGTACTCGCGTGCCGTGATGAGGGGGAGGGGGTCCCCAGTGGCTTAGTTAATCTCGTATACGCGGTTTTTATATATTTTTCGTCCTTTTCTTCTTTCGTACTACGGCCTATCACACACTCGCTAAACCTACTCCACCGACATCATCTATATCTATCTATATATATATATGGGTGGGCATATTCCGTTTATGATCGACAATCTCAGCAGCAGCTGTCTGACAGGCCTTGCTACGGCAAGGAAAGTCAGTATAGGTAACTACCAAATTATTAAAAATGAGGTTTTGATGAAATATTATTGTTAATTAAATCGTGGTTTTGCATAATTTAATATTTTAACCAAAGTAAAATAATTTAGAAACAACAATATATTATACATATTATATAGTTCCTAAAAATGTGATTATAATATTTTGTAAGTGTACGTCATTATATTTACAAAAATCGTATATATTTATTTTAAGGTAATCTCAGTAAACGTAAACAGTAAACAGTTTATAATTACACTGTACAATTACTGCGTTCACGGTTAAGTCGATTGCCGACTTCATCTATCTCAAGACATTTCTCGCATACTTGAAATATTTAATTCATTTGGAAAAAACAATACACAAAACCTAATTTGGCCGAAAATTAGATTTCTGTAGTTACTGATTTTACCCGCAGTGGCACGGCAGTATCATGCTTCCAAGTAACACGCGAATTCACATAAATGAGGTACGCACGATGCATAAGTATATGACGAGCCCTATTATGTGAACGTGCACATGATATTATGTTGACACACCTGCTGTCCTTTATGTGTTATGTCCTGTAATCACGAAATAATATTATTGTTTGTTTCTTTTTTATGAAAAATTGCATTTTTATGTTAACTTTGATTTTAACCCCAGTCGGTTTCTAACAATACAACTATACATATTTTATGCTATAAAATTTACCTCGTAAAAAGACAATTTTTATTAAATCTCTTAACATTTATAGTGAGAGGTACCAATACACCGTGCGGTTCACAAAAGTATTTTTTCGTACGCTTTCGACACCCAAACAATACTCGGCTGGTGCATCAAGTACAAATTATTTGCAGAAACAATAATTTAACATTATCACAACAGTATCCACTATGTATATGACTCGTTAGCTTTAATATTAATTACCTATTAATTATTATTATTTACGGTAATGCGGAACGAAATTATTTAAACCCAGGGACAAAGCATGACGCATATTGTAATACAAAGGACAAAGTCGATACGTAGTTATATATATAATATATTATGCCAGTATGTTTAGTGGCGACGTGTTATATTTTTTGTATCGATAAAAGCGCATACTCTATATATAATAATAGTATATGTGTTAGTACGGCGTTATATTGGCGTTATTTTATATATTATGTACCTACTGGATTTGACATGAGAAAAATTGCACGTCCCTTAAGTATCGTTTTAAGCGATATTTCCGTGGTGGTATATATATATATATACACATAATATTACTTGCTCTATAACAGCGCATATATATACGCATATATATATATATATATATAATGTATATTATAAGGCCATACGTATTATAGACGCATCGTGTTTGCGTAATACCGCTTATAAGAGTTTGCATACAAACGTTCAGTTTTTAGTAAATATTTGTTGAAGAGTGAAAGCCATTAATAATGTTATGTATACGCGTTAAACATAGACTATTCAATGCTCGTCTTTTTCTAATTTTTTTATTTTTTGTTTACATGAGCCCTTATTTAATTTTTTTTTAAACAGACCTTTTTATTTGATGGGTTTTTACGGTATATTTTTTCTGGTTGTTCTATTATATAGGTGTCATCTATATTAATACGGTTTTAGTGATTATGATGATTAAATACCCCTGACAATTTATTTAAATCCATTATTCTCGACGAGGTTGATCAATAAATTGGATATATTTTTAATACCAATAAAATAGTAATATAATATATTAAATGTAGTCTGAGTTTCGATTTAGCTATAAGTGTATACAAGTAGGTAGGCTGTCGCTACAGCTCCAGCAACACCATAACTAAATCTTAATTTTAATTAAAAATTGCTTTCTTTATCAACTATGATAATATTCTATAGGTAATTACATAAATATAGTAATAACGAAAATTAATAGTTATGATTTAATTATTATTGCATGTCATTCCGTGTATGCATCGTCGAATAGGTTTAATTATGAAGACATATTAATAGTTTTGATTAAATATATTTAAGGGCTTAAAATAAAAAAAAACATTTATATTCGACAGGTGGACGTGTGCAGTGCTACTTTGATGGATGTCATACATGCTGTCATTCATGGAACCGACGGATCTGTGTTTTGTTTTGGCCACCAAAATCTAGGTAATTCTATATACATATTTACTATGAAAATCCCTATAAATTGAAATAATAGAATCAAAATGAATGATTGATTCATTATTTAAAATTGAACTTTAATGGCTTAACAAACATCCATCTACATTTAAATAATGTAATGTAATTTGTTGGTTTAATAATTACAATTGCAATTTCTATGGAAGATAAATTATTGTTAATAATAATAATAGCATCACACATGTCAATAAAGAAAAAAAAATATGATATTTTCTGCTTAAATTACAATAACGTGGATAGTATAATTAAAAACGGAAGTATAAATCATATGATAATATATGTTAATGAGAAAATGAAAGTTTAATTTAGCTAAAAATCCATTACCTTTATAATATGTTATTATATTATCCACAAATTGAAATACCAACCATTTTAGTTCAATACATGTACATTGTATATTGTATAATAATTTAAATTATCCCGCCTAATTGAAATCATAGGGGGATATTCGTATAATCAGATTAATATTCAGATGATTGATATTTCCTTTTCTCTCTTTTTTTCATTTTGAATATTGAATATTATATGACATATTTATTGTATAGGTTTGTAGTTTTAATTATCATCATATAGTATAGCGTATTTTTTATTCTAACAATACTTTCAAGCAATAAAATATTGCTTACCCCAAAGTTACGTTTTTTTTTTATTTTACAATTTTAATTACTATATATTATAACAAATATTTTAAACTAAAATATTATTACTTGAAATACTTCATTTTTATTCTATAAGCTATGTAGATTACACGATGTATCTACATGTTAAAAAATGATTGGCTACTATACCATGTACTTACTTGACGTATAGCAGTAGAGCTGAGTCCAATCATTTATTTGATTTTTACAAAATCACTTATGATGAACTCTTGTAATATTTTGTCACCTAACTAAAACCATTCTAAATATGACTTTTTATCAAAAGCTTTATCTTTAATCATTTAAAAAAAACTGTATTTAAAACCAATCGTTCACATAGAAATGAACACTCGTGGTTTATCATGAATTGAATTTAAATTACGATTTCCATAATATTATAATTGATGTCGACATTGCTGTGATTACATAATATTTTTATTTAATCTCGATACCATTATTCGAATTACTATCCACCGAATATAATTTTGGAATGACATCCGTGCAACATCCGAGGTGCACTGAATACAGATGACGATAATAATAATACATATGTAGAAACCACCCTCGCTTCTGCAACCCGCCCTCGGCTATCGAAAACGCCTAGCTATTTCCTCCTTCCGTACTTATACATACGATTATAATAATCGTCCATATAATATATTTTATCCTCTTCGAAACCTACGATCGGGATCATGACTTTGAAACCATTTACCTCGCGTATACATACGATAGCAATATTACAATATTGTCGTCTCGTTACACACGGATGTGCAGTGTCTCAGTGTCTGTGTGTGTCTGTTAATTGGGTGGATGACATACGTGCGGGGTGGGTGTACTTTGCGCCACGTTGCATATATACCCATTAACGAAACGCAATAAGTCGGGCAGACATCGTCGTGTTTATATATAATATTATTATACGTACCTGATGCACAACTTTATGGGCGTGAACGCACTGCACCGACCGCGAGCAAAGTCCATAGACCCATAATATACGCCACACAATATTCAATGGTAGGCAGGTAGGTATATTGGCAAAGCAGAGGGTATATTATAATATATTTCGTTTAAAATTCAACAGGCGGCTGCATCTGCGGCCGCGCCGACGACGAGCGTCGTATATATTATTACATTATTATTATTATTATTATTATTATTATTATTATTATCATCGCTATCGCTATTATTATGATTATTATTATTGCGGTATCCGCGGGCGACCGTTGACTTATTTACGCGCGGTGGCAAGTTTCGTCAAAGTTCACTGATTGTTATATTATAATATATAATATATATTATATACAAACCGTCTCCAAGCAAACTTCATTACCTCCCCCTTTTCCGCCACTGCCTACCAAGCTGCTTGTTTTGCGCATTCCAAACTCGTGTCTACGATATAAACTTTAACAAGACGCCGGCAGACTATATTCATCTCTCCACCGAGCCCGGTGCGATGCGCATAATTCGTTTGAATGCGCTATATTGTATCAATATATCTGTATCTGTATCTAATTCATTCACTATACAAGGTGATAACTTAATGACCACCTATTATTATACCTTTTTTGAATATTATTTAAGGTATACATCTGCCATTGCCACTTCCCTTACCTTTTCAATTTACTTAAAACGATACAAATAATTATAAAAAAAAAAAACTATTAAATTTAACTATTTGCATGTCTTTATATTTTATATAGGTACATCGATATTTTTAGAAAAATTGACTTGACTATCTGAACCTATCTATCTATTCTTGTGAATCTACTTCAGATTGTGAACATTAAGGTTACCATTAAATAATAAATCAAATGTATTGTAAAGTTGTATTAGATACCAACAAACATATATTATATTAATTAAAGGCAGGTAAAATTGTCTATACATCGTACACCAAAAAATATATATATATACTTTTTATTTCGATCATTTTTTAAAAATATTTCTCATGTACAAATACTTACAATATGCACCTAAAATATATCTATGAGTTTCTTTTGTTTATAAATTGTGAGATACAAAATGTATATCAATATTACCCTGCATATGGTCAAATACTATAAAATAAATCCTATGATATTACACTGCGGCTAATGGTACAAAAAAACGTGATTTGATATCTACTACTAATATTGTAAAATACTAAATACTCTATACATTATAAACCTATTTATGATATTTATGTAGTTATTTCAATAGTATAATTATAGGTATTCAATACATTTATAATTAAAAAATATATATATTTCATGAATAACCTAATCTTTAATTTAAAGGAATGGGAAATTAATTTTTTAGCACCGCAATCATAGGTGGAAAAATCTTTAACACTACCCTGCATAAGTTTGAAAAATATTAGTTCCGTATGAAACGATAGAATTGTATTACATTACGATGTCATAAACATAATTTCAAAAACAGTTTATTTCATTTGAAAATGCCACGTGTTCTTATACAGTTCAAATAATCACCCTGTATAAAGCTCGTATGTATATTACATATTTTAGGTTTAATACGCTAAAGCTTAGCTGCATCATATGCCTATACGCATATACTAGTCGCGAATACGTAATCAATGCGTCGACGGCGGTCACGTATTATTTCATATATATATATACAGCGCTGTAACTCGTGATCGTGTATCTTTCAGTGCTGCAACCACCGTAAGCGCAGATGGTGGGCTTCAAATGTAAAAACGAAGTCTCAGATTTTATCGTGCACGTTTTTTTTTATTAATAATGAGCTTCAAACTGCGATAAGAAGAAGATAAATAATATTAAATAGTATCGTATGAAAGTAGAAAAAAAATCAAGTATTTACCTCTGTTTTTACCCGGTTAAAATTCCAGATAATAAATGTACGTATTTACTACTATATCATTCAAAAATATTAATTATTTATAAGCGTTTATGAAACAAGTAAAAGCTAATATTATTTCTAATCTTTTCTTACGTTATATTATATATTATTCATCATGCTGGTACCTACTTAGTAATACGTTGTAAAAAAAAAAAGATAAAGGTACATGATGGTAATGACACGTGGTAATTTGAATTTTTATTTTTATATACCTATTATGCTTAATATTCAAATCATTTTTATAGGCATACTTTCATATTGGTGCAAAAGGTGTACTTAACTAAATTTTTTTATATATTTGACGCTTAAATCATAAATTCTATAGAATTTTATAATGTATTCTCCACGTCATCATCCCCGGTCAACTTTATCCCATTAACGGTCTGTCAACATCCCGATTGGATCACCGTCATCTGTAGAATATGTATTATGCTGTCCAGTGTCCATCGGGCGATGGTCGTGTTTATAATTGTTATATGTTTCAAAATAATATATCATACAGACTACTGCACGTTTTTTTAATAGACAATTATGAGGGTCCGGTCGTATTTTCGGCTCCGGGTACGACCCTCGACATTTCCGAAGATATTGTAAGTACCTACAACAGACGCGTAGCCAGGATTTTTGTGGGGTGTTTTTAATTTAAATTTAAATATAGCTTGGGGGTGTATTCACTACTCTCCGATATAGTCATATTATCAATCTAATAATAATAATAATATAATATAAAACCATATCACAATATATTTTTTGTATACATTTAAGCCGCTTGGTAAATAATATATCTTTTGCATAAATATACGACCGAGGGGGATGTCACAACACCAAAACACCTTCAGGATACAGAACTGCGTAGGTTCGGGATTAATAAACCAGTAGAAATAAACGCATATTTGCTGTTGATACTTGATGATACTTCAATCTCGTAGGCATAGGTACCAAGTAAAATATAGTTTTCCTTTTTGCTTTTGCACAAAGTTTAAAAACGCGAGTTCGAACTTTGTGCAAAACTCTTCGTTGCTCAGTCGTGATAAATATATAATATAATTTCAGACTTAGTATATGACAGCAACAACGATGTATCCATACACGAATGGCCACTATTGTATAACGTGTGCGAGTAGGCAATATTGAACGGACAGGTTATATAAGTTTATAAATGATCAGCATGTGATGTGTAATGAACCGTGTGAGATAAACTGGTAGACGATGAGATATCAATCGCACGACAATAATACGCAACGTTGACTGCAGAAATAAAATAGCAATATCTAATTTATTTTTGAAAATATTTGTTTCGATTTTCGCTGTGAATTAAAATAATACGTAAGTAATACACAATAGGGATACAAAATATATATTTTCATCTTATCATTTTATATTTGAACTGTCTCGAATGAGAATTTAATCACCGCTCAAATGATTTAGACATAAATTCGAGTTATTCCGAACATTTTTTTTATCAATAATTCACAATTCTTTCGAATAAAAAAAAGTATTTAATTGTTATCCGCATACGCAAAAAATATGTAACGTAATAATATTATGTAGTTAATTTATTTTAATTTTGGTTTTTCAAGTATGAGTATACTCAACACGCGTATATTATAAAACCACATTGTTACAATTTTCACCATGAAAAAACCATGTAAACCTAACCTAATACAACTCGTAAATTCCATGTAAACTCGGGACAATATTTGGTCAGAGCCCGAGGGTACGATCATTTTGTTGGATTTAAACGGTTTTCGGGTAGTGAAGAGCGATTCTGGGAAAGCAGCTCATCGCTGAAGGAGCAGGAAGTGGAAAGCTTAGTTGGCGGCAAACAACCGAAATGCTATAAACGGCATTTGCGGCAAATAGTCCGTCAGCCGGTACCCTTCTAAATAGTAATGAAACCACTACCACCATCGTAGTTACCGAGAAAACTTTGTTTTGAAACAGCTTTTGGCGAAACTGATAAATGACAGTGTTGTTTGACGTTTTGTCTTTTAAAACGGTTTTAAGCACACTAATGCAATATTATTCACTTTCCCCTTCCGAGGGCTCTCTTCGTTGATAACTGAAATATTTTGAAAATCAAATTAGGTATCTTACAGCGAGCTATTACTTTTATACGTCTACATAACAAATTTTTATTACCATCTTTATCAAAATAATATATATTTTGTTCTGTTATTCATTTATTTTCTCAATTTTCCGCAGCTCTGTAATTATTGAAACTTTTGTATCAAATAAATTACAAGAGTCAAAGTATATGATTACAAACAATAATATGAATAATGAATTTGCCTTTTAATTTAGTATATCAATGAAATATCAAATAAGTACCATATATAGTCATATAATCAAGCACGCAAACCAGCAATCCCAACCTTATAATACATAAACCTATACCTATATTTAACATATAAAAATACTAACAATTTTTTTTTAAGCTCTTTTCTGTTTAACTACCTACATGTACATAATAATTATATTATAATAAAAAAATTGTTTAAGCTCTTTTTTGTTTAACTACCTACTTATTATACATAATTATTATGCATACTATTATTATATATTGCCTAAATACAACTAGGTACTATAGGAAAGCATACACGTGTGCTTAATATGAACACGCCATAAATTATGTAGTATATATTTAGTTTTCAGTTCAATCTAATTAAACAACCTATTGAATATTCAAGTTTGAAATAAGGGTATTGAAATACATTTGAATGTAATTGATCAAAGTTCAGTTGGTTTATGATTGCATTAAAATAATTATAAATGTAGATGCTAATTACAGTGTTTATAATGCCTGGTGTTAGTACCAACCTATAGGTATTATATGGCAACATGCATAAATTAAAAAAATAAACATGATTTCAAAATCCGTAATCTTATTCTACTGATAATAGGTACTAACTAACTGCATACCTATACCTATAATATTCCTAATATTCCGTGTTTTGCTTGCTTTTAAAACGATAAAAATTTTTAATACGCGTTGTTGTATACGCGATCTATATGAGCTGCGTAAGAATGAGTTTATATGCATTTTTTCCCTCGAGACGTTTCGCGTTTATTTTAATAATAAAATTGATCGATACTAGTATATATACTACTGAAGAACGTAAACGCGCCTACGTATATCGTAGTGTATGACGATGAAAAACGGGCTGCGAGCTACTTCGTATGTACGCGGAAAACAATACGTTTATGTAAAATGATGTATAAACCCAATCTATATATACGTATAATATGTATCTATATACACACAGTATAAACATGCTCGATTAACATTTGTTGCAGGTAAAACGTACACAATGATCGGATCGCCGGAAGACCCACAAACGTACGGGATCATACCGTGCGCCATATCGTGGCTTTTCAAAGGCATACAGGAGCAGAAGGCGAGGACCGGGGCGCGTTTTTCGGTCCGCGTGTCCGCCGTAGAAGTGTCCGGACCCGCAAGTCCCGTTAAAGACCTGCTGGCCGGCCAATCCAACGGTAATTACATTTATATACCAAATATATATATACCATGTATACCACACACACACACACACACACACACACACACCTACCTACGTATATTATAGTTTCGTATAATATTGTGTACTAAATACAGGGCCCATTTAGACTTTAGAAAACCGCCTCTCGGTCCGCCAGCGATAAGCATCGTGGCCACCGGAACCCTCAAAACGACGGGACCATATATATATAAAGTACATATTAAGCTCTTGCAACGTGCGTCGTGTATAATGTACCTATATACATTATACATATATATACGCGCATGCACGCGTTAAATCCAATCCCGCGAAGGCAAAAATCCCCCAGAATTTTAATGTCTGGATTATCGGTAAATGGTATTATACCGCGGATACCATATACCGCGTTTATATGTATATGTATATACGAATATTATACAAGTGTGCTGCATGCGTACAGGAGGGGTAGAGTGTAGAGGTGTTTTTTTTTTTTTTATCGCTCGAACGTTCAGAGGGGACGCCGTCGTGACTGCCGATATAGAAACGGCAAAGGTTGTTTAAAAATTTCGGGTTAGGGATAAAAACTGTTGAAAACAGTCTGAAAAAAAAAGAAATAGTAATCCTTACGTTAAAGAGCAAGATGGGGGAAAAGAAGTAACACGGATTTACGCCCTTTTTTAAGCGTTTTCCGCGAGATAAGCTTTTCACCGCAGTCGCGTTTTGACTGCCATTTGAATATTATACGATTTATACGTCGATACGGGTTTTATAGTTCAAAACGCCCACCCTGTATAATTTATAATATATATACGTATATAAATATATATAGGATTTGGTTTAAAGAAAACATCAGAGTCCCGGCGGGTAAATCAACCTCTGTTTGTTTGGTTTTATTTTTCAATCCTTTTTCCACCTCCACCGCTAATACGCACAATCTGTACATTTCAATCCATCACTATAACGCCGTCGAAAACTTTTGAATTACAAAACGTCACGAACGCTGTCTGTGCAATAAATTATTTAATGCACAGTGTTGAAGCGTAATACACACACACGCGCGCGCGTACTTATAGAAAAATAAATAAATAAATAGTTGTTCATCAACTTAATTTTATTATTCTAGACGAATAGGTAATTAGTTATTCCCGTACATTTATTCACAAACCAGCAAAGTCTCTTGAAAGTATAATAATTACAATACGTATAGTGCTATACATAAAAAATATATTATTTTTTAAATTCTTTTTTTATGACTCTTAACGTTCTCTGAACACGCGACTGCCCCGTTGCAGGTTTCTATTCGTGCCTGCAATGCCGGTTTAATAACATTTCATACAATATAATATGATATTGTGTGTCTAAAGTAGGTACTGAAATAATTTAAATGAGAAAACCATAATAATAACCATTGTACCGAAATCGATAGGTGTTCCAAAACGGCGGGTTGTCTCTGCAAAACCGCGTAATATAATAATATTTACGACATTCATATATAGTAATATAATAGTGCATAAGCAATAGTAGAAGCGATTTCGAGAAATTTTGAAACATTCACTGGAGTTTGAATAGCTCGGATGACACAAAAACAATACAGAGCGTACCTCAGTGATATTTCCGTTTTTTTATGAATTTCAGCCGATACGGGAAACACTAATTGATACTATATTTTTTACTTTACCACCGGGATTTTAATGAACACAGTTAAGACACTTTTGATATTATTTATATTATTATT